ACATGTACGTGTAAATACAAGAGCTTTGTCAATGAAAGAGTGAGCAGAAAAAAATATTTTTCTTAAGAACCAGGCATTAGTGTCTAGTTACATGTTTATTACAGCTGCACATGCACTCAGCCTAATTTTTCAATTAAGCTTAACAGGATCACAATGTTGGCACTTCTAGAATTGTACTACGTAAATCGCATCATTTTTATGGCATAGTGCACATGTATTTCCACTAACCCTTTCAGTCAATTATCAAAGAAAAGCATCCTGAATCTCAGGAATGTTACTGTGCATGGATTCTTAACTGATTAACAGAATTAGGCTTTCCTGCCCCTTATTTCTGTGTTAAAGTTTTCAATGAGGTATGCTCAAACCACCTGAAAAGATGGTTGGTGCATGTGCATGGTTTTCCTTCTTTACATCCTACTTGAAAAGGAATCGACATGCTTAGATCAGGCCCACAAACCTCAATTGGCTGAGTCCGGTTGGGAACATGAACTTGCAGTATAGCATTAATTCTCCTTGAGAAGCGGACAAGATAAAGCAGGTGATGAATGAAGTGACATCCAGACTTAAGGAGACCGCACTGAGGCAGTCACAACAATCTGAGGTTACTCAGCTCATAACCTTTTTTGCTTTTTTGCAGGTTAATGTTAACTTTTGGAACTTTTTATATGCATTGGGAAGGGGGTGAAACAGTCCCCAAACTGTCTCTCTCTCTCATTTTTTTCTTTCAACGAAAAAACTCTCACTCCAGGGGCATGGCTTTTATACCAGGGAGGATTACCAATATAATCATCCCCCTAAGTAGGCCCTTGGACCCTGTGCCATGTCAAGTTTGGCACAAGGATGACCTTTCAGAAATTATCTCCCCCCCACATATGAAAAAATATCGACACCCATGCCAGGGGATACCCCTGGATCCCTGATGGATACACAACTAAGATTAAATATGACAATCTTCGTTAGAACTGATAATTATTAATTTGTACTGCACTGCTGCTAAAATTTGCTAGGCATGTGTTAATATGCATGCTTTAATTGTAAACATTGAGTAGGCTTATGATGACTGATGGTTGATTGGTCCTTGTATAAATGACCATTCAAACTTTAGTAATTGACAACTACCAGCATTCAAAAAGCTATAGGCCTATCTAAAAATGGAAACGTCTTTTCTTCAGGCTGCATGAGGAGGCAACAGTTGAAATCGGTATGTGATTCTTTTTAAGGTTCATAATCATATACATGTGGCACCCGAATCTGTGTGGCTAAACTTTAGGCTGCCTACCCTGTGCTATCCCAGAGTGTCGTGCCAACCCCAAAAGTGGTCTTTTTAAAGTAGGGAGGAGAAAAATTTAAAATCTAAATCTGGAGCTAAATAGTGCAGGACTTTCCCCTTGGGTAAAGAGGTACCACCCATAGATGACCTGCTATTTCCATAAGGGCCCGATCCCACGGGAAAATTACCTTGCATCTTTGGGGATAAGCCCCCTTGTCTTAAGGAAGTTGAGAGGTAGGTGCAGTGGGCAGAGATAATGCACAACCTCTGGCTGAAGGCAGGGTTAGAGCAATAGGCCAATTTCCTGTTGGTTGCCAAACAAAAATACCACCACATGTACTGTGTACTTCAGGAGAACCCTGTATTCACCAAAGATCTAGGTGAGAAAACAAGATATCATACTTAAGTCAAAACACGACAAAACAACAACAAGAACCAAAACCAAAGACAAGCCCTCCTTTCCCCCCCCCCAAAAAAAATAATACTGTTGCAATACCACAAGAAACTTCAGAAAGGTCTTCTTAAAATCACTGACAACAAGAGCCAAAGGCAGTTGAAAGCAGGCAATTTGGGTATCCTGCTACATTATTTTCCCCATCCAAACTTTGAATACCCTGATATGAGATACATAAAACAGAATTTTCCCTCACTGCTGTCAAGATCAAAACAGCCTTTCCAGAAAAAGGATGTAGAAAAAAAGGAACGTGTGAAGAAAAAGGACTTGTGAAGAAGGTCTATCCAAATGGGATCTGTCACTCTCAAATGGAGTCCAATTAGCAGTAACGTGTAACCAGTTTCACTGAAAGCCTTCCATGAAAATACACTATTTGTGCACGCAGATTTATTATTGCAACAGGTATGTACTAAGACTACTGTAGTTCTTGCACATAGACAAAACAGAACTGAAATGGAAAATTGTATAGGTCAATAGTTTACTCAACTTTTTCAAAGGAAACTAGGCAAGCTGCCTAAATTTTCTTCGGATGAAATCAATTCAGTAATGCCCCTCTCTTCATGTTGTGGCTGAGACTGAGGAAACAAATAATGATTTGGCTCCTGGAACAATTTTTGCAAATCGGGGCCTGTTTCCTCAAATTTTAAAAAGGGTTAATTTATGTTATTTTCTAGGCACATTGTCTCAAGCAATCAACTATTCATAAATACCTAAGGAAGTTTACCCATTTCTATCAGTTGACAGCCTCTCACATGGGCAGGTTTGAATAGATAATAATAGTAACATGGTTTTTTAGCACAATCCTGATATGAAATTGTGACTCCTACTTTGTGGATTACAACCTTCATTCATGACAGTCATTGTTGTCATGTAGGTATGGGCGACACAACCAATGAGTTCACATTTTATACAGCATCAAATTTTCACTTAACACGAGCTCAGCTGCATGCTGCATCACAGCATGCACAACGTGCACCAATTTCTGTACCAGGGAGATATTGTATTGCGAGTGCAAGGCTCAAACCATCCATATGGTTAGAAGGGTGTTCCAAAAACCACAAGGTAAGGTAAGAATTTTCGAGTTATTTTTATTTTGCCACCAAAAAGGTATAAATGAAGAGAAATAAAAACCAGATGGGTCAATTTAAAACAAAATGTAGTGCTTTTAAAACTCGTAGGGGCCCTGAATGATTATGGACCTAACCTAGCTTGGTCCATTGTCATCTGAACTTTCTGAAGACCCTGTAAAAATGAGTTTGAAACTACCCCATTACACACTAAGTCCCTTATTTAAAGTCCAATTTTATACAATTATGCAATGAACATTATTATGGTTCTTAAGTTTCTTAATGTCATTGTTACGAACTTTGCTTCCCTTTCCTATACTGATCAGATTTTACAGCTATTTTCTGAAATGGTAGGAATTTCCACTTCTATTTTTCAGGTAAATTTTTAATGTAAGAATGTGTGCAAAGACAGTGGGAAAGATTTTGAAAGTTTTACCTCATACTAAGAACTAAAACAAGAACAGGACTGCACCCCATAAAACACTTTCCTGGAAAAAGCATGATGCAGTAGTACCCATACAACTGCATGGAAAAGCCACAAACAGTGATTTATCAGGAGTGGCTTTCAAAGACTTTAATCCAATATACCATAGGTCAGCTCACAAATCAGCAAAAACAATTCATGTGCAGTGTTGGCACAAAGTGACAGAAGTATGTGGATAATTTCCAACCATGTGTTTACACATGCCAAATGAAAACAATATGTTCATGTTTGTACATGTATTCAGCATTACTACATGCCTGATCAATACTAGGGTTGAGTCATAGCAGACAAGACCACAGTAACTGGGTCCTTGCCAAGGTTTATTAAAAGAGGAAGAGGTACAAGTGCGTTGCTGGGGGATAACAGGACATGATACAGTTTTGATGCTTGACGTTGGAGTTGAATTCGGGAGATGATTATTATCTATGGAAACTCTTTCCACATTTAAGGACAAGCTGTAAACTATGTCCTGCACTACCATCCTTTACCCTGTCCTTTGAAAATTGTTTAAAGGGAAAACTAAACACTGTATGCTACATACACATATGGGTACATGCACGTTAAAGAAATACCAGATTGTGAATTACATGTCAAACTGTGCCTTTGCAAGAGAGGCAATTTTTACCCTTTATCAAATAGTGACATCTTTTAACTTCTCAGATACGAGTATCCCAATTACCAATTTTTCACAACCAACATCACAAAAATGAAAACAAACATACGTCGGCAAGTATAATAAAAATCCTTTCGGTGGGGGATACTGAATGGTAGTGCATAGATTTGGCAGTGCTAATAAAGCATGGCATACCTACTGATGGTTCTAATCTCGATAACTTCCCTCGTTTCAGCTTCAGAAGAAATTTGTTTAAAAACAAGACTAGCTGGGTTATTTTAAGACCAGAGGAGTACACCATGATGTCAGTGCTCTCTCACTTCACCGAGATCCTGACAAGTTAACCCCTGACTGGCGGAAATATTTCCGTTCTCTGTCAATCATTGAATTGCTAAAGGTAATTTAGAAGGTATCTTGCAATTTCAGGCAGTTGCCAAAGATTTTTAGGAAAGAATCTCAAAATAAGCAGTCAAAAAACAAAGAAAAATCTGAGTCCCAGCCCACTCTCCAATTCAGCTTTATATGTGCTTCCAAAACAAGTTCACTAGAAAGCTAATAAAGCAGTTAGGTGATCATCACTGTAAAAAGCTGAAATTTTTTTATTAAAAGTGGAATAAATTTGGGCAAATTTTTTAGGAATATTCTGTTGAATCTTTATGAATGTTCAACCATTCAATTATTCACAAACATTTGTGTGAATTCCATTAAAGACCACTTTTAGAGGGGGCTATGTGCTTGTTTTAGAATGTCTTTATACACCTAAAAACAGTTTGTTTAAAGTTCTACATGTGGAAGTTTTAGATTTATTGCTCGAAGAGGATTTAGGTAAATGTAATTATCTTGCATCTTCCGAAAGGAAGATTTATATTTCACAAAATACTGATTAATCCAATTAAAATGAAATCAACTATAAAGAGCACATTAATTAACAGAGTAACCAAAAATGCTTCCATACCCCTAAAATATTACTGATTTCTTTTGTCTAGCAATCATTCTCACTACAAAAAGGAAATGATGTGAAACAGTAAATTTCAAAACCTAGCAGAGAAGCTAGCTGTAAGGAAACATTGCCAAAAGATGGCATCCAATAGAATGAAGTTTCAGAAGCTTACCTCCAGCACAGCTTGCAGAGCACTCAGTCAGTCCTGCATCAATCCAGCCGTATCTGGCCTGTGAATCCCTGCTACCATACTGGCTGCCTTCCAGGGCTGAAAAATCACTGGAGCCGAAAGTGCTTGATCCCTCGCTGCTCCCACGATGGGACTCAATGGGGTCAATTTCCAGGTAGGGCCTCTGGGGCTGCTGTGGGTTGGATGGAGACCTGCCCGATGCTGGGTCCTGACCATTAGGATAGCGGTTTGGGTAAGGGTTCGGGTAGGGGTTACCAGGGTTTGGCTTAGGGTTGGGATTGGGGTAGGGGTTAGGATTAGCACCTTGGCTCTGATAAGGATTCATACTGGGTTTGGCATTGGAATAGGGTCTTTGCGGATTGCCATTAGGATAAGGGTTGGGGTTTGGGTACCGGTTGGGGTTTTGGTTGGGATATGGGTTACGATTTGGGTATGGATTGGGATCGTGATTAGAATTTGGGTAAGGATTTGGATTTCCATTTGGGTAATAAGGATTTGGATTAGGGAAAGTTTGGTATCTGCCTGGATATGGATTGACTGGTTGAGGGTTGGGCTGGATATGCTGCCGGCGGCCACTACTGCCGAGGTGTGAGCCACTTCCTGGATTGGCTCTATCCCTGTGGGCCTGGTATTGTTGGCCCTGCCTGGGGTTTCCAGTTCCTCCCTGCTCTCTGGCAGACACTGCTTGCTGGTACACTGAGTCTGGCAGCTCCCTGGCCTGCGTCCCAACGCCGCTGAAAGGCTCAGCAGGATATGTTGCAAAGCCGCTGTCTGCTTGTGGTTCCTCTGGCTGGTCGTCTCGGGGACGGCTGCCAACTTCACTCCGGCTCGGACCACTGTCATCTTGGCCTCTGTCTGCATCATGATTCCCGTGCTGGCCAGCACCTCGATGGTGCCCACGACCTTTCCCCAGATGTTTGTTGCCAGAGTGGTCACTGCCCAGTTGATGGGTTTCGGCATCCCGATCTGACCCCCGATGGCCATCACTCTGTAGTTGGCCACTGGGATCAGTCTCTGGGCCCTGCGGACTGAAGCTTGTTCCTTCGTCTGGTTGTGCTGATGGTTCCACAGGACTCTGTGCATGGTTTTCTTTGGAGCCTGTTGACGGAAAGACTGGGGCTGGTTGGCCAGCACTCAAGAAAGTACTCAATGACACACCACCACTGACCTATGAATGCCAAAAAAACAAGAAAAATGGGTACACTTTTATGCTCTAGGAATGAAAACAGTAAGGTGGGATTATAACCTAGCTAAATCAAACACACTGTTCACAGCTTCTTTTTATTTTACAAAACTGCAAAGGTCAAATTAGCATCCTCATCGCCGCTTTCAAAGCATTGGGAGGCCTTCGTATCAGCTAGGGGGCAGATTGCAAGAACAATAGTAAATTTTGACGCTTATAGTTTTTGCCAAAGGAGGGCCAGCTACTCATCAGGGGGTCACACCCTGCATGCCCTTGCTTGACCCTTGACCCTTGTTTGATCCTGTTATCTCACTCTCAAGCCTCTTGCCTTTGGCTCATTGACTCTAATTGTTCCTAATCAGTTAGCATAAATCAGTGTCAATCAGATGTAGATCACATGACACTTAAATTGTCAGTCCTCATATTGGGGTCTTCCTGCATCAATTACCTGCCAAATCAAAAGTTTTTGTTAGTGCTTATTTTCTGTTGCCTGAGGCTGAGACATGTTACTGGAGGAAACTTGTGCTCCTCTGGGGAAGCAGAAATGACAAGGAAGTTGTTTATTGGACTATTAGAATTGATGCTCTGGCAAATTGAGAGTACATTTACATTATGGCATTACTGATGATTTAACACATCAGAGTCCATAAATAGCTGCAACATGCTATGCAGCATCTGCAAACATTTAGGTCATAGGTAATGGACATGGCTGGATGATCCACTAGGTACATTGGGCATTGAGCCTATGCCGGACAACAAAATCAGCTAGGTGCCTACAAAACTGCATGTTATAAAACATGCAAATGTAAGGAAAATCTTTCACATGAATTTCCCACTTTGGACAACTCCATGAAACATGCAGTGGTACATGTACATGAAGCAGAGTACAGCCGAAAGAGAACTTGTGTCCTTAAAGCCAACCGAGCACTAATCTGTAGTTATGGCAAAAACCTTTTGACTTTCTACAAACAGCAGCGAACTTTTCAAATATTGAATCACAAGCTTAAGAGCCATCCGAAAAGTATTCCTATGCTATTTCTTACAGCAACTTCATATTTTTAAAGACTCTAGGGTGTACCCATAGAATATTTGTTATCACAACAGGCAATGCACAGTAGCCAAGTTCATGACAGAGTCCACTTCAACACTCTTCTTGGACTTTCTGTGTGTGTGTACAAAACAAAAGGGGCATTAGGGTGTTAATAATCATCTACTGAAGGTGGGGCGAGTTGAGGAATGCTTGACTGTTAAGATTTCAGCCCAGTCAAGGCATGTCCTCACTCGGCATTTCACCCAGGCTCCTGGATGGTGTTTACATGTCCTCCCTCACCAAGTGGTTAAAAGACAGTGCTGTACCTGAGACCTGGATTGTGGAGTATCCTGCCGGATGATAACCTGTCCCCTCTGTGGTACAACTGGCTTGGGCTGGGGCAAACTGGACATAGGGGATGCCACCCCATGGCCAGGCATCTTTCTTGGTACAGAGTACTCATAAGAAATTCCGGGATTTTTTTGCTGGCTGATCAGCTGCAGGGAAATAAATTTCAAAACAGATAAAAATACAAATGGTGGCCTGTAAGGTAAATATTGTTCTTGTACAAACATGGGATTCAAGGGGACCAGTTGATTTTTTATCCTTACCTCGAGCATACACCAACACAAACACTGAGGACACAGACGAACATCTGTGAACATTTCAAGGTGAACATTAACAACTTAATATTGACATAATCAAGGTGTAAACATTTTGCCAACTTAAACAAGAAACAGTAGGCACTTGCTTTAATTAGAATAGCCCACAAATAAATATTAAATCATTTTAAGTCTGAAAATCACTTCAAGATGTTTGTCATAAAAACATCCAACCAGAAAGAGTCCAGCAAATTCTATCATTAAAACTCACAAGAACACATCAAAACAAATGAATTCAGACAGCTACGTTAAGGACTTTAACTTTATCAGACCTCCTTGGACTATTTATCTTTTTTGCTCGAATGAAAGTAGATATGGTCAGTTAACTATTCAAAAGTTTGCAGGTAATTTTTGCCACACCAGACCTATGCCCCATAGTAATTAACAGTGATTGCATAACATTAAAGACGTGTACCAAAAAGGTATGTGATGCAAGTGCGGAAACATGAAACTCTGTACAAGACATGCCAAGTGGAAGGGGGCCACCTTGCCCCTTCTGCCACCAGAGAAGCCAGCTATTGCAGAACAACAAGTACAAGCACTCACAGGAACCTCTTCCTTCCCAAAATAGCAAAATTACTTACAATTAAATTCAGGTCCTCTGTAGTAGGTCCATCAGCAAGTAACTGCTCACCGACTCCTGTTCTGCCAGGCATTCTTTTGTAAATGAAAAATGTGCCAGCGACAGAGTAGTTGCCCGGAGGGTCAATCTTCCAGTCCATATTGATGTATTTGTTTCCATTCACACCTTCAAGAGCTGTCAAATCAAATGATCAAAATAAAAGAAATATTCAGCAAGGGAAAATGTCTACAAGTCAGTTCATACAAAAAAATCTCAGAAAAGGAATGAAACAAGTGGCTAAGGGAAAATGACCAAATTGTAATTTCAGTTCTATCCTATGATGCAAAACAAATTTGACTGGAAATAACAAATAATGCTGTACAGATGAAGAGGTTTTCTTTTTTTACATATGATAAATCCGTTTGAAAGGCATTTATCCATGGTTATCATATATTTTATTTTTTTTTAAAGTACTAGTATACCTGGTAACCTGAACCTTTGTTTTCACTCTATTGATTAATTAAGTTTTGCTAAATTACACAAAACCTGTCAACCTGGCTTTGGACAGCCAGGATAGTATGGGATTCTGAAAGAAATCAAAAGGAGTTTGTAGCATTTAGGAAATAAACTCCTCATCAGTTTCACACACAGTGCTTTTGGTTTCATTCTTCTTCTGTCCTCACTTGTGTCAGTGGGACTGCATTCAATTTCACATTCACATGACATCTCACACTTACTGGGGCCTGGCCCAAGTAACCGACCTGCTGAGCTGGCTTCTTGGGGAAGCCTCCCCCAATACAACGTGAAACCATGGCCCCTTAAGTCGGATGATGGGATGGAAAGTTTATGGCATCATTTTATAAAGTTTAGAAAGAATTGCAAATAGTAATCTGACTCAAGTCAAGTACATGTAAGTTCTGTGAAATACAGGCTACAAACATGTGTATGAAACATGCATATTCTTGTTTTCAAAAGATCAAATTAATTTGGCAATTGATCATTACATAATCCCCTTGACATCAGGGCACCTTGTTCCTTTAAACCTAAATTGTGCATGTCCATCTACATCTGTGTTAAAAGCATGCAGTTTAATGCTCAGGTAAGTGCAAAGAAAGTAATTAACTCACTGCCATTCTTGCTAAAATAACCTAATTTCTAATCTCTACACATATGCAGCAGTGACAATAATTAGGGGACATGACAATACATGACAAACAAACCACATGGCAAATGGGAAGTTTTCACTCTTCCTCTACTGTGGATGATTTCCTGAATCATCATGATGGTGATGAATACATCCTTTAAACTGCCCACAAACAGGATAATTTCAGAACAAAATGGTTTTTACAAAGCTCATGTTCCCTAAACTCAAATCTGATGCTATGATAACAGGGATAACCAATTGGCTCACATCCCCTGGAATTGTGAGTGGATTTACAAGGGGTAATGACAATGTCAAATGATTTAAGGTAACAAATGAATGACTAAACAGTCTTTCAAACATTTCAAGTTCCTGACCAAAAGAGGATCTAAGATTTCTAAGGGGGGGGTTGGAAACATTTCTGTTCACACAAGGGGCGTACATGTAGTTTTCACCATTGGTGAAGCCATTAATCTGTTTGTTTTGTCCTTAACTGTACATGCAAAATAACACCCCTACATAATTAATACTTTTTAAGGGATCTAACCTTTAGACTCAGGCCACTAAACATTAAATTAAAAATTTGCACTTAGTGTGAGGGGGAGGGTTGATCCTAAAACCCTGTCTCCAGATCTATGCCTACTGACCCAAGTAATTCCTGCTCTTGGTGAGCTCAGTGACATTGATGTACATGGCTCCCGTTGGTATGGTGGTGATCTTGTGGTAGCCGTGCCCCATGTTATTGGTGGTGAAGACACCGGACATCACCTCACACTGGGTGTTGGTGCCTCCACACACGCCGCACTTGTCCAACTTGAGGCCAGAGCCCAGGATGCCATCACAACCTATTTCCTGCAATAATGAGGTAAGCAGAATTGAAAAGTCAATTAAGAACTTTTTTCAACTCATCACAAGCAAACATTTCATCTCAGTTTCCCGAAGGAACTATGTGACCGAGTGGGTAACACTGGACATGGACAATGCTCTTTCGAAGCAAAGGCAAGATACACATCCATGGCAAGTTGACAAACCATCAACGGTTGAAGGGCAGTAATTACCCTTCAGGAAATTTGTTCCTTTTCCTCCTTCCTTGTTCATTGTTTTTCTTTTTTCTTTGCTTATTTTTTATTCATTAATCAAGGGGGCAAAGGAGGAGGGGCAAGTGCCTCTTTCCTGCCTCCCTCCCACATGCCAATGATGATGGAGCTTTAAAAAAATAAGAGGGTAAAAGAAAGAAAAGCAAAAACTGAAGAAGATTTAAAGTGAAAGAAGTGAAATTGCAACATATGTTTAATGCAGTATATATGGAAACTATCGGAAAGAATAACAAAACTACATTTGCCTGAACCTCCCTCCAATATTTGTTTTCTTTTTTGGTGGGTTGGGGGGTTGCACAGCTGCATGATACCTAAATTAACAGCTGTTTCACACTGCAGCCTCTAAACCCCAGTTGAAATCAACCTTGGGCAAGCCCATGACTGCGCTGGGTCGAACATTCAATGTTTCAACTCAAGTTCAACCCGACATTGCTTCTCATATGCTTCATGCAAACCCAGCTTATCAGGTTCGAGTTCAACCTGGATATGCCAATGATGAATGTATGAATTTTTAACCTGGATTGAAAAATATTAACCCTTCATGAGTCTGGAGCAGGGTTGAGTTCAATCAGGATTGAACTCAATCTCAGGGTTAATGCAGGGTTGGCACAGGGTCGAATATTTTCAAGTATGAATTGTTGCCAGTTTTCAATCTTGCACAAGCCCCGCATCAACCCTGAGATTTCTATAGTGTTAAAAGGGTTTAAGAGTAAACAGGTACATTTTGGAGGGATACATATAAATATGTGTAATTTATGCCATGTGACCTTGTTGTGGACTAAGCTAATATCACTCAGGCCAACAAAGAATCTTGTCAGTAAGTTAATTAACCTGGACAGTCCTTAAGCCTTTAATTTTCATATGAATTTCCACACACCTAAAGAGGCATAAAGAAAACTGATGTTAATATGTCGGTTGGACTAGCTCTATGAGTACAGCATTATCACCAATAAATCTATATTCGGAAAGGCACTTAGCATATCAAAAGTACAAGCCACACTTCCATCCCCACACTGTACATGCTTTTTAACCTTTACATGTTACTATCAATTGGGGAGGGAAACCACAATTCACGTGAGGCAACCACACAATTGGTTGGAACTTAATATAAAGCTACTGTAGGCAATATGACTCTTCCCCACATTAAAAGATTTATCTTGCTCAAAGGTAAATTAAAAGTACAATAATCTAGCAAAGTCCCTAGCAAAGGCCAAACCATACAGCAAGGAACACACCCACACTTTTGGAGTTTTCATTTAGAGCAGTGACAGCTCATGCACCCACAAAAGGACTTTGGCATGGCTACGGATTTGGAACCTTTTTAATGATACCACAAACTGTGTGGCAAAAGCTTTGAAGCTGAGATCAGTGTTCCATATACTCCATCAAATAAACATCCACAATCTCATCACTCACAAACTTCATGCATTTCACCATTTGTTAACAAGACTGTGATTAATCTGTCACCCAATCCATCTTTACTCTGCACTGGATTTACAAAGTGCTTCTGTTCAAGATTCACTTCACATAGCCTGGGACTAGTTGTAAAGAGGGAGTCTGCTCATACATTGAAGGGGCATATAATTATGGCCTCTATGGGCAGTCATGGTGGAATGATTTTAAAAGTGGGGGACCAGTTGTAAGACCATCAGGCATCAGTCATTGAAAGACCTACACGTATCCATTAAAAATCCCACCCCATTATAAATGTAGGACCTGCCTTAAAGTTGGGGGATACCACTGGGCCCTCTGCTTCAGCCAACATTGTAAAGCCTTACGGTTATCAATCAGTTCCTAAAAACTGTGTGCATCCCCTCATGGAAAGACATACGTTTCTTGATGTGCTTCCAACCTCATCATACCCACATGTGTAGTTGTAATACAGTTTAGCCCACTGGGACCTTTTCATGATAATCTAATTTACCAAATGAAAGGTTCCATCACAATTCAAGAAGGTAGTACCCTGCAATATTCCACACCAGCATGTTGTTGAAATGTGTTTCCTTTGCTCTATTTTGAAGATCCAATTCAATCACACATTAATCCAAGGAAAGGATGGCCATGTTTTCTTAAGCAAGCCACTCAGTAAGGCCTGACCTTTTAACGGCCGAAGGATTTCCTGAGCTGGGGGAAGAACTGAGCAGACATAAGCCTAACTGTTTGCTTTGAGGAAAAGCAAGCTATTTTTGGAGGTTTTATGTGATTATTCCAAGGTGGTGGCCTTCGGATATGGTCAGCTTGGGGTGTGTTAACATTAATTTCCCAGTTGTAAAGTACAAGAAAATAAAAAGAAGACACCAAGCTGTCCCACCTAAATAAACCAGATTCTAAAAGGCCACCTGACTTTTGGCACTTGGCACTTGAGGTTTCAACTGGTCAATGACATCTTCAATCCTTCATACATCACCTTTGACCTTTGGCATGATAACCTTGGGGTAAATGAGGCCAAAATGTACTCTACTATTAAAGCACCCATCTCGCAGGGTGGCCAAAATGTATTTATGAAACTTGTTAATACCCGCTTGAAGCAAGGCTGAAGTAAGGTAAATGCTAAAGCTGCCTATTCTGGCTGTGATTAGCTCAATGGCATCCTATGAAAGGATGGAGATTACAACTAGAGGTTAGAAAGTCTTTGGAACATTGTGTAGTAAGCAGCCATCCCACAAATGTTGAGGAATTAAGTTGTCCTCCAACAGATTTGCATACATACATACAGGGAATTTGTAATGCACAACGGGCTATCAGCAGTACCAGAGATCCCATCTTGGAAAGTAGGAAGCACAAGCAAATTCTAGCGCCTAATAAACAAGTACTGGTTACCAATACAAGCTTAACACTATAACAGTTTTCTCAACTCAGTAACAGTTTTCTTGCTTTATTAGGCCAAACATAAGGTGTTTTCCTTTCTTGGCTCTAGCAATTTTCCAGATGAATCCCACACTTCAGGAAGGCTGAAGTTAAGTAATTAAGGTCAAATAACAGTGGGTGTGATCTGCATGTAACAGAACTTATTAGTGTCACTGTTACGTAATGTTAATGGATTTTGAAGTGGCTGTTTCCCTTTTCATCAAGGACAAAACTCTCCAAAGGTCTGGCCTCAGGAATAATTATGTACATGAACAGAGTGTTTCCCATCACACAAGGATGATCAGAGAAGTCTGAATAATGAACATTGGTAGTATTTTCAATACATCTGTGCAAAACAAAAATGGCCTCTAATTAATTTCAGACATGCCAAAATAGACATTAAAAAGAGATATCTGAAGAATGAAAAGAAGCATGTGTGTGGGTGTTGTTTTTTTTTGGGGGGGGTCTTCATCGCTGAAACATGTGGCCAAGTCCTGAAGCATCTGAGAAGTACATATACCAACTAACCTTGAGACAGGAAACCTTGCTTCGAGGACAGGCTTGGAAATAAAATTGTTGCATGCAGCAGGCTGGACAACAAATTTGTTTCATAATTTTAAACTTTGATGTCATAACATTACAATCCTGATGCACTGCAAAGTTATGTTGGTACTTACATGGGGCTTTCCATGTAGCAATTTCGAATGTTGACTAAAGTTTCCTTTCTTTTTTTTTCCTTTAGAACTCAACCTTGGAAACCAAAAAAAGGGGAACCTGTTGACCAACCCTTGTTTCCAGGGTTTTGAATGGGTTCATCCCACATGTACCTGCTCACTGATCTGTTTGGGACATGCAAATCAATTAGGAATACACCAAAAACTTGATTTCATCCAGCCAATATAGGCTATACAGTGTAACACTTCATCCTGACATGAACAGAATGCAAAGGGGGATCGTGGATGCAGACATTTCCATGTTCTTCAAATAATAAAGTATGTGTTAACTACAGTTTTTATCAACAGCACCATTTACACAGTGTGAAGTTCATTATCTGCTACTGCTGTCAGGGTGTAGTAAGAAAGTTGTGCGGCCAGGGCTGCTGTTCCTAAGTCCAGGGATTTTCTCTTCACTGTAGCAGGTATAGCCAGTTCAGGGGCAATAAGTTGGTCCATAGGAACCACCATACCACTGATAGTACCTAGCTTAAACTAGTAGAGAGGCTTCAATGATTGAAACAAGGTACAGTAGATTCCCCCTAAATAGCGCTCTCAAGGGGACCTAGCAGAATTGCACCTTAACAGCACTATATATAACCACAGAAAAATATACATAGTGAAAGAGCATGGAGTTGGGGAAATGAAAATAGAGCTTTATATCGGTAAGAGCATTTTATCAGGGGAACGCTGTAATGGGACTCTACGGTAGCTGTATCTCCATACATACAGGGCATGATAAGATTTATGTCAACATAACATAACAAGCATACCACACCAAGCTTTACATGCCAGATACTTCAGAATCAAGCATTTTCTGAGACACAAAGGATTATCACTTTGTTTGCCCTTGAAGCTGTCAGTCCCCTTATGCATGGAGGTAGAATGCTATCAATGTCAAACAACTCTGAAAATTTCGAAGTTCAATTTCAATTTGGGACCATAATAATCCATGGAAGCTATGTTGAAATACAGGTAATTGCTAAATGTGAAAACAAATCATTGTTGCCCTCAGATACAGACTACCCCACTTTGAACTTTTTTACCCAAGGCCTGGCACAGCGGGACAACATTCATGTTCTCACCCTTTCTGACCTCAACACAGGAGTTCCTGGTTGGCTGAGCTGCCATATCACACAAATAACAAAGCCCCTGATTTAATCCTCACTGACAAATATCCCCTGATAAGATCAAT